GGGATGCTCCAAGATACTAACTTACTATTGTCCCTGTCTCTTATACACATCTAGATGTGTATAAGAGACAGGAGAGAGAGAGAGAGAGAGAGAGAGAGCAAAGGGCACCCCTTACATCAATTCAAGGACCCCTGCAGGTAACCCACATGGCCCCTACAATGTATATGGACATTGTGGAGTCATTGAGGACCAATGCTTCAAGGGGCAGGATGGCTGTGTCATATGTTGAAAAAGTGGGCGCAGACCACCAATATATGCTGTGCGTTAGAGTTCACATCTGTAGCTTGGCAGTTATGGGGTCACAGATTCAGCTAGACCCTGTTCATGTCTCCACATGATTCTCAGGGCCTCGCTCCACCACGCACCAAATGTAGAACAACATTAGAATGAATCTTCTGCTAAAGCATGGAACCATACACCACCATATGCTATGTCTTTTGTGCATGTGGTGGTAGTGGAGCCAGGCCCATTGGGCCACTGTACATATTCATAAAACGAGAGAGCTACAGGCATCTTCATCTTATCCCATAACTGCCGACATGCAGACCTGAATGCCAATCTTCAGCATATATTGGTGGTCGGCTGGCCCTGCCAAGCATATCTCGTGACCTCTCCGAAGCACTGCGGGCCAGATTGCTGTTGGGCAATTACTCCCTTTTCGCGGACCTTCATTTTTCCGGTGCGGTGTGTGACGCGTACGCAAATCCATGCACCGAGGTGCACCGCAACTGTTGTTTATAACTTTATACTGACTTTATAGTGCTTTATACCTTCTCTTATAAGCCCTGCTGGGCGCCAGACAGTTGCCACGCGCCAGTTGGTTGCAGTGAGCATCAGAATCTTCCATGAGTCTTCTAGGCTCTTCTTGCTTCGACCTGGAAGCAGGCCGCTCGGCCTATCAGAATGCAGGGGACACCTCAGTGAGCGCGGGGGTTGGGTTGGGGGCACCTAACTTGCTGCGGGCCCAGGCCACCACTGTCTGAACAGGCCTGGGCGCAGACACTTTGGCCCAACCTGAAGGCGGGGGTTGGGTTGGGTGCACCTAACTGCTGCGGGCCCAGGCCACCACTGTCTGAACGGGCCTGGGCGCAGACACTTTGGCCCAACTTGAAGCTACTGGGCACACAAGGACACCCGCCCAAGCAACGTTCGGGCCAGGCCACTTCGCATATAGGAAAGTGCCTGACTGTGAGCAAGGCATTCGGGCACTTGGGTGCAAGGCGGCAGTGCCGCTATTTTGAGCGCTGATGCTGCTAGCGCTAGTGCTTGGGCGCACGCTTCGCAAGGGAAGGTGAGCGCTGCCTGAAGGCAGCGAGCAACAAGCCAGCCATAGCCGGGGCGTGGGTGCAGTAGATGTCGGTGGAGGTGGTGGTGATCTTTGGCAGAGGGGAGCTGTGGGAGAAGACGGGGGTGAGCATTGGCGAGGGAGGAGATGTGAGAGCACGTACCTGGTCCTGGAGGAGGTCTGCATGGTCAACATCTGCACGAACTTAGCGTGCTGCTGCTGACGTCATCTAGTTGCTTCGCCATTAGAATAGGCTAGTATAGCAGCCGTGCGATCGCTGTCTAGGCGCTGAGCGCCAATAGGGAGGAAGAACTTCGGATACATTGTTGATGGTGGCGAGAGAGGGCTTGCATTGAGAATTGAGCTCGCTGCTTTGGTTCTCCTTTGGTGTGATTTTGGTGCTTTTTTTTCTTTTAATACAAAAAAAGGAGTATATTATATCATCACAGGCTGGGAAACGGGCCCAGCGTCCCTCACATCAATAACCACGGGCTGCAGGGATGCTTTGGGGACAGCTCACGACCATCTGGCTTTCAATGTGATGTTGCAATTTGGAATTCTGTCATGTCATTTTTTTTGCTCATTTTCCTTGCATTTGAATGATAAAGTTACTATTGCTCGTCATAAATATGATAAATGATACTATTATGATAGTAAATTAAATTAGTCAATATATAACAGCAGGCAGACTGCGGCAAAACAGCCTGTCGGGAGACACAGTCGCACAGTAGACAAAACATACACACTAAGAAGCAGCACAGCGAAGTCAAAATATTGAAGTTTATTGAAAATAAAATATAAATATTGTAATTTATGGAATTATAATTCAATTATTCACATACAATATCTTTATTGAAGTTTATTTACAAATCATTGAAATCAATGAATAAAATTGGAATAATACAAATCACTTTCGATTCCCTTACTGAATGGATGGAGCCAATTAAAAGTGCATTTTTAAATGCTTCTGTTCCCCTTTTTGATAGATGCACGGAATTGTGTTTGCTCCATACAGTTACCTAACCAATTACAATAGGGTCAGTCAGCATTGCTGATATCTCACAGAGAAAACAAATTGCATGTCCTTCGTTGGAATTCTTGGATCCCCAATCCCACCTCCACACCCTCTCCTCCCCCCCCCTCTCTTTTCCTCCTCCCCTCTCGCCCACCACCGCCAAAACCACAGCCCAGCCTCAGCCCAACCCCGCCAACTTTATGCCAATACACCCTTCAATTGACTAAGTGCCTTTTTTTATTACGTGAATGTGGACAGTGCTCCTGTTTTGTGTACCTGTCAGGTATCCAGTCCAGATACCTAAGGGCAATGGCTTACATGAGTTTTGTCTATGGGCTCATTGCGCTGTTGACGTCAAAGGTAACTAACTCCTACACCTCTCTGTCGCACTTGGTCTTCGCAAGCTCATACTCCCTTGCCCTGCTTGCCTTCTGTGTGTGTTCCAAGTCCCAAAAGTTCCAGAAGTTCCAAATTCCAAAACTTCTTCCAAAAGTTCCAAGACTTGCAAAGGTCCCAAAAGTTCCAGAACTTCCAGTTCCAAAAGTTCCAACTCCTTTGGTTTCTGTATGTGTTCCAAGTTCCAAGTTCCAAAACTTCTTCCCAAAATTCCAAAACTTGCAAAAGTCCCAAAACTTCCAAAACTTCCAGGAGTTCCAAAAGTTCCAACTCCTTTGGTTTCTGTATGTGTTCCAAGTTCCAAGTTCCAAAACTTTTCACTCCTTTGCCTTCGCAAGTTTGTATTCATACGACTGCCTTTTCCTACGCGTTACGACTGCCCTTTCCTACGCGTTACGACTGCCAACCCCTTGGCCACCATTTCCAACTACTTTCCGGCCGGTTTCGCTACACCCCATAATAATAGAGTTACAACTTGTACGCGCAATCGCATAATATGCGGTCGCACTTCGACATGGACTCAAAACACATGCACGGTCAGTCGGTCACACATGGTTTTGCACATGAGAGGGAGTCACACGCATTGCTGTTGCCAAGTTTATGCTGCATGCCTATAGCCCCAGTGGCTATTGCCAAGATTTGGGCTCTACCCCCTGTGGCGGCTATTGCGAGGACTGCGGCTAATGCTCCTAATGATTATAGCCACACAGGTGATGGGTATATTCAACTACTATACTGACCAGGTAATCCTGGCGCCAGTCCCTCATGGCTATTGCCTGATAGCCCCTTGCTTCCGAGTCCATAGTTCTTTCCCATTGTTTTGCAGATACCTACTACAGTCTCTTCTAAAACTTGTTAAAAAGGAAGGCTGAGAGAGGGAAAGAAAGAAAGCAGGAATTGTTGTCATGGAGGCATTCTGGCAAACAGTGCTTCCATTAGATTAGAGGCATTTCTGCAAACACTGTTTTTTCTTAGGAAAGTTCGGAGACATATCGGGGAAGTATCTGCACAGCAGTGCCTTGAGATTACCTTCTTCCCCCCAAAACAAAACACAATCTCTTCGTCACTATGGGCCTCACTCCACTTCTCTCCACATGCGCAAAAAAGACAAAAAATACGGTGGTGTGTCCTTCCCATGTTCTAGCGGAAGATTCATTCTCATTTTGCACATTTGGTGAGTAGTGGAGCAAGGCCCTATATTGGACCCAAAAACAAACAAAGACGGTTGATACCTTGATGATCAGGGTGTGTTGCGTGTTCGGGGGAAGACGGTAGCATTCCCAATTTCCGCATATGGCTATGACGGTTTATCTACTTTCGGCCTTTTTTTTCAGGCTATGTGTCAGGACCCCCTTGAACCACTAGTACGCAGCCCCAGCCTTGCAGAAAATGTTTCGTCACCTACTCCGAATTTGTTTTGCGCCTTGAGCCCAGCGGACAACAATGGCTGCTGGCGCCAGCCAAAAAATAAAAAAAGTGCGCTGCTTGCGGTTCGGAAAAGCTTGGAAAGGGCGCCAGGTCCGGGTGTACTGGTGATTTAAGGCCAGGCATTGACTTTTCTTCGCCATAGAAATACTGTAAAGAAGTACCAACCACCTACTCCGAATTTTTTTTGCACCTTGAGCCCAGCGGACAACAATGGCTGGTGGCGCCAGCCAAAAAAGAAAAACATTGCGCTGCTGGCAGTTCGGAAAAGCTTGGAAAGGCCGCCAGGTCCGGGTGTACTGGTGATCTAAGACCAGCCATTGCCTTTTCTTCGCCATAGAGATTCAGTAAAGATTCCGTGAGGTGTGGGGTCCCCGAAACACTTCCGCGGCAAACTTTTTCCTTTCCGCATTCCTGTGGGGTCCGACCCTTAGCTTTTTGCTGTCTTCAAGGACTCCGGCCTCAGTTATATTGAATTTAAATGAAATTGAGACTGGTTTGATTGAAAAAAACAAGGAAAAAAAAAAAAAGGGGGCACTTAACTGCTGATGATCCAATGTCTTTGGAGTCACTCGGAGGACAACCAACTAAGTTGTTGTTGTTGTTGTTGGTTTCTTTTTTTTTTCTTTTTTTAATTTTATTTTAACCGAAACATATGTGGCAACCTATTATTGGAGGTGATACGAGCATCCTCCAATAGCAAGCCCCAGTTTATAGATGACTCTAATCTATTGGTGGGGAGCATCACCTGCTGGAAACCGGGTCCACGCCCCACTGACAAGATTGGAGACAATATACCTGGCGGAACAACATTGATTGCCCTCTCACGAGGGGATTGACTGCCCGCCCAATTATCAGCCAGGTCACGGAATGTATGAAGATCGATCCATGGGAAGGCAAACTATCCTCCAATCACCCTAATCCTTCACAGTCACAATCGTGCAAAACAAACCCTAGGCACCCTCCGTGCATAAGGCCGCTACCCAACTCCATGATTCACATTTTCCGCCAGCGGAGGAAGTCTGCCTACCCTTTCTTATCCTAAGCTATTCACCTGGCGAAAATCATTCTCACAAGATTGTTTTTGTCAAATTTCTGGCAGAGGTTGGCGACATCTGCGACATATATCATTATTTTTATTATTATTATTATTATTATTATCACACATCTGCCATGCATACTCTTCCCCCTTCCATTTCGCCAACCAGAGTTATGCCCATCCCTTATTGATTGTCCTATCTCCCTCCCCTATCCCCCACCCAAACGACAAACCTTCCTCTCGCTCCTCTCCATCGTGGCCCCCACCCAGTGGCAGCCACAGAATATGACAGTCAGGACCGGCAATAGGGAGGGGGCAGGGGGAAACCCTAGGTCAAAGAGAGACGCCGACATGCGATATTTACGCAGGAGTGAAACAATCAAAACACATGCCAAACCCATCGAATCCACCCCGCCCCGTGGTCAACTGTCTGAGCCACCCCCATGATTGTACGACGCCGCAGCTCATTAGTATTACCCTCTGGGGGGGAATGGCACACCCCTGCGAAATCAGAAAAAGCCCTGTCATCAGGGAGTAAGACAGTGTTGGAGAACTTTGGAATGTTTTGCTAGGGATTTCGAGGGTTTTGGAGCATTTGCAGGACCTCTGCGGTCTACTTCCATACTTCCTGAATTAATGTAAGTGTTCTCAGGCGTTTTCTCAGCTGAAGCCGGGTAACGGCCCCGGTATCGCAAAAAAGAGATCGAGGCGAGTGAGAGAAGGATATCACGCGTCCTACTAGCGAGGGGGCTAGCTGGTAGGATGGGAATAGGGTATAGCAGCAGCGGAGATGGTGGCTCTGCTGCAGTAAGTCTTGCCGAAGTGGGGTAGGGGATTGATTGGTGGTGTCTAAGTCTCTTTCCGAATTGTGCATATGATTTTGTTCAAAAAACAAACAAGGGGGAGTGGGGTCTTCAAAGACAGAGATGGTGGGATATCAAACATCCTACTAGTGAAGGGGCTAGCTGGTAGGATGGAAATAGGGTACAGCAGCAACGGAGATGGTGGCTCTGCTGCAGTAAGTCTTGCCGGAGTGAGGCCAAGAGGATGGATGGGGGGTTTCTGAGTCGGTTTCTGAATTTTGTCTAATTCCGAAGTCTATCGTAGTAATTTCCTAAGTAGCCCCAATTTCTTCTTAGCCAAGCTGGGTAATGGCCCCGGTACCTCAACTTTCAAAGTCTGTGTAAATTTTCATATGGGACGCTGGGCCCAGTTCCCAACACGTGCTGCTCCCCACGAATAGATTGGAGCCTTGTTCCCATTAAAAAAAAAAAAAAAAAAAAAAAAAAAAACCTCGATAAATCATCACACATGATATCATTGCCCGCATCAGCCTGCTGGGTAGATAACGAATCAATTGTAAGAAAACCTTTGAGAGCAAGTGGGGGAACCGCATCACCTACCTCCGCCGAAGCACCGTTGTCAAACAATGATGACAATTCCTTTTGACCTTCTGCGGATTGTTGGTAAGACTGTGAAACAAATGTCAACAAAACTTCCAGAGCAAACGCTCGGATCGCCGCTCCCACATCCGTCAAATCTTCATTATTCACTACAACAGTCTGAGACTGATAGCCAAACGATACTGACACCATGAGATCGTCACCCAATTCATCACTCGCCTGAGCAAATGGCCACTGTTGCTGGATACAGAGTGGAGTAAATTGGTGATGTCGCTGCTGTAGATGTTGTAACCAGAGGAGGGAAGGTCTCACAACAAAACGTATCAGCATCCATCAGTTGTCGGCCAAATCAGCCTATAAAATGCTCAGACCTAAAAGAAGGTTGAGGGACATAGTAAACGACCGATGGGCCAGGCACCTGAATGTGGATCACTCTCTTATGTCACCAATCAAATGGTTCCAAGAACAAAAAGCAAAACCTATGAAAATCATATCCCTGCAATGGCAGATTGCCCACCGTTGTCTACCAACTAATGACTGGCTAACGGATCACACTAACTTAGAACAAAAAGGTTTGCTGCTTCCATGGTGCCAACGGTGCCAGATCCTTTTTCCATTCCATAGGAAGACGGAAACCATTGAGCAGATCTTTATGCAATGCCCGATAGCCCAATTCATATGGAGATGGTGGGATCGCATCTGGAGAAAGATGGAAACTGGAATCCCCTAGCCCTGGTCTTGGCAGGCCATTCTGGTCGGCCATTGGCCACAGACATAAGCAGCTACAACTTTCGTAAAAAACATGTACAAACTTGGAAGAAGAGCGGTCGTATGGGCACCTTGGTGGCAAAGATGCACTTTTGCCATGGAAAAGGTGAGAGTAGAAGAATCAGAAATCACTGAACAGATCCAGCAGCAAATACACTCCGAACTCACATAGAGACGCTAGACACAAAAGCACAGTTAGACCTCCTTAAACAGGTAGAAGATGTCAGGAGACGGATCACAACTTTTTGCACAGATTGGGTGGGAAGGGAGAGAGAAGGATGGATTGCGAAAAAAGAATGGAGCGGAGACAAGGGAAAGGGACAGTGGGA